AACGGATCGGGCGTGCTCGGATCTTTACCAGGGCTAAGAGTACCGGTTGGTGATCTCAAACTATCAACTCTGTTTATTCTTGTCACTATCCATCTAATGTGTTTTTATATTAATATGAAAGTAGTACTACTACTAGTAGTAGTAGTATAATAGGTGAGAAAAACATAGCCTTGTTTATACACCTGTGTTTACATTATAAGTATGTCATCCATGCATAACGGACACAATAAGAAAAAACACATTCAGGTGGTTTTGAGGAAAGTCTGAATTTGGTGCGCCTTACTTATTAACCGCTACGAATGAAAATTGCTTGCCTAGTAGTGAAAAAGCCGGATTGACAGACAAGACAGAAAAGAAAGATGTCGAATAGGAAAATGTAGGAAAAATTTCGAAAAGGAAAATGTAGAAAACAAAAACAGCGAAAAGGAAAACGTAGAAAGGAAAATGTAGATGAGTCATTTGCAACTTCATTGTACAGTCAGGCAAGTTCTTCTAAAACAGCGGATGTCAAAAGTTGGAAAATCTTGATCTACACACTGAACGTAAAACTCTGTTTTCCATTTTCTCGCCTGATAAGAAAGACACTTAACAAAGCATTTTTACTCAGTTAGATACAACCGCCCCTGCTCTTTCTTATGAGCACCTCACATTTCCAAAAAAACATTTTCTCAAGTGCCCAGTTTGATTTTTCTCTCGATCTACAAGTTGTCTGTAAAACAATTTTCGCCATAGACGAGCATAAACAAAAAAACAAAACAAGCATGAAGGCACACAGTTTGATAGAGCATTAAATGCTCTCCAAAACGTACTATTTGCTTTTTGTTCTTTCTTTTGTTAGAAAAACTTACTTTTCTCTCAATAAGTCATCTAAAAACAGGTTTTTGTCGACTTTTGATAGGTTTATCTTGGTGAGCTATTGAGATATCGAGCAGAGACTTTCTGTGGTAGTGAAGCAAGCGATAAGCGATAAAACAAAAAAAAGAATTTCGAAATCTGTTTCCAGAAATCGGAGTAATCTTAAAAATATGACCAAAACTCGATTGTACAATAAAGTTGCAAATGACTCCGATATAAGTTTAATATCGAAAGAAAATATATGAGAGGAAAAAGCAGAAAGAAAAATCGCGAAAAGAAGCACGTAGAATGGAGAAGACATCTGCAGATTACGTAATTCTACTTTTCGAACTGCTATTCGCTCTTACGAGAATGATTTAAATTCGTCCTCTCCGACAACGGTGAAATAGAAGCAAAGCAATTGTTGAACGGATTGGCTTTATTACTTGGATCTCACAAAAAACAGAATTAAAATTTATAAATTTCACTTTTTTTATATGAGTGGAATAAAAAATTTTTCTAGCTAATAGTATTACAATAGTTTCATTTTTTTATATCGTTCTTTTGATATGATCGGAATAAAAAGATTTTCTATACTAATATTATTTCGACATTTTCCTTTTTTCTATTTTCCCCATTCGTCAACCTGAATTTCGCTATTTTCCAGTTCAACATTTTCCTCTTCGGCATTTTTCTGATTTTTTTTCGACGTTTTCCTATTCGATGTTTTCCTTTTCTGCGTTTTCCCCCAAACCCGAAGAAGCTAGAATAATATGCGGGATGTCGTGTGAAATTGGAAATTATAAAAACAGAGAATAGCGATATTATGTTGATGAAAAAGATACCTGAAGTCAAACACTACGCATTTAAGCACTTAGACGTATGTTACAATGTTCGCAAATCCCTGCATTTGTTTCGATGTTCGTTGTATCCAGTGGTACGTTTGAAGTTATTTTAAATTCTTGCATAAATTCAAAAGCTTAATTTTATTTTGAAAATTTAGAATTTTAATTTGTTTTACTATACAGCCATACATCAAATACCAGAACACACTATTATTGGTTTTACAACAGAATAGTCATGGATGTTGTTGAAATACATATATAAGGTGCGCGCAATTCAAAAAACCAAGCACTATCTTAGTTTTCGGTTAGAAGCTACATATTTCGATAGTCCTGACTGAGCTGATTCGGAATATCACCTTTCTATTTGAATTCGATAAGTTTTCGGGTGGAGATCCTCAAAATACTGAGAGCACCGAAAAGACAAAAGATTTGTGTCACTTTGAGAAAACTTGATATATCGTCCTCGTCCTCTCACTGTAACTTTCTGAATTTGATATATTCGGATTCAACATCGAAAACTGAATCTAATCATGTGCCTTTGAGCCACACAGAACAAAAGCCCCGTGTTATACAATTTCGACAGGAGTAGGCGAGCGACATCATGAACTACTTTTCTCGCAAACCTATCTCCTCCCTGGTTTTGAAACTTTTCTCCGATCGTTATACGCCATTCGAATCGCCATTTAAAGCTGAACAAAAGTACGTAACGCTTTTTTTTCTAATATTCTTATCTTACTGAGAATACCCATTTTTTCATTCTACTTAATTTTTTATGGTGAAAGCACGCGTCACAGTAACGTTGTTATGTATGAATAAAGATAATCATAGTGCTCCATCGCCAAATAATAATTCTTTAGCTAAAAAATCAAAATCTGTACCAAATACACCAGAAATTGAAACAATGGACAATCATTTGTTACAAAGTATTAAAGAAACATTTACAAATTCATCGTTCATTGGTGAAATGACAAATTTACTACTCAATTCCAATGTCCTTATCAATACGCTTACCAATGTTGTAAAACAAGTGTGTCAGAAACAACAACAACAAATTGATTTTTAACATCTGAATTGAAGGAAGTTAAAACACAACTGGTTAAAGTTCAGTTTCAAACGAATGACCATCAACAGTGTACAAAACGAAAAGATTTAGTAATATATGGCATACTAGTTCAAAAAAATGAAAATATTACAAATATGGTTATTGAAATGGGGATTCAACTTAATCATGCACATTTTTATTCAGTACATCGCTTACTAGTAAGTAAAAAGTCAAAAGATAAAACAAAACAACCAATCATCGTGGCTTTTTTGCGTTTAAAAGATACAAATGCGTTCTATGATTCAAGAACAAAATGTCGTGATATTGACATTTATAAAACGGTCTATATTAATGAGCACCTAACAAATTATAATAATACTTTGTACACGTATGCTCGTCAAAAACTAAATAAAAAGACAATCTTCACGCACAATGGTAATGTTTATCAACACTTGTCGAAAGGGAACTACAAACGACTTTTTACTGTGGAGGACATCGATAATGCAACTGATGCATAAATTACTGAGACATCACTATGACCAAGCATGAGACACAGGCTACTCTTTTATTCAATTGCTTTATTTTCTTCTTCCTTCTTTTCTTTTCTCTTTCATATTATGTTTGGTTCTAAATTTTTATTATGTAATAGCAAGAAGTACAGGCTCGACGACAGGGAAGTATGGACGACATATCCGCCATAAAATCTAACACTACTATGTCTGACAGTGTACAAATTGCATCTATGAATATAAGAAGTTTGACGTCGCAAATAGATTACGTGAATGCATATCTGGCCCTAAAGCGGTGTTTCCATGGAGTCCGTGCCACGATATACACAACATTGTTCGCATAAGCTGGAATCCTTTTCAAATGAATGACCCATACGTGGGATTAGCATAAATCGAGTTAAAAAAGTTTGAAAATATCGGCATCATAGAACGCCAAATCTCGACATTTGCGTTTTTTTGCGTTTTGAGGACCCAGTAACACTAAACTTTTGCCTATATAAACCAACGCGCCAGAATTGCTGCCAATCAGAAGTGAGCACGAGCCGTGTCAGATACATATATATATATATATATGTTCAACTTTTTCACATTTTAAGAAAATAATTTGACTGAAGATGAAGCGAGAAGCTTCGACAGCGCAAAATTTTTCTATAATCTTGTACTTGTAGCCATATGAATATTGAAGTTTTTTTTAGAAGACACATACTTAAAACGAATTTGTTCAGTTTTAATCTGTGAAAGTAAGGATAAGGGACGGTGCGTTCTGGAAAACTGTATTGCATTAAGTCCTGAGTATTATGGAGGTCTTATCCGGAGTATAACTGAGGTCTTTTGACATCGAGTGTTCTACAAGTTTTCCTGGCTATTTCCCCCTTGGTATTCTATCATCTTTTTTAGTATTATTGCATAATTGATTTTTTCCAGAGATAGTATGTCTTCTACAAAATTTTGCGTGCATCCTACTAGACACAAAAACTGCACAAGAAAAGGACGAAATCCCTCTCGTCCAATTGGAACTGAACAAATGGATGAAAAAATCGCAAGAAATATGCAAATCACATACCGAAAACGTATAGGTTTGTCTAAAATTAAATTCAAACAAGGGCAGTTACTTTGCTTTCGTTACCACGAGTATGAAAGCAAAATACTGAAAGGTAAAACAATTGATCACAAAGATAAATCACCCTTCAAGCAAACGCCTGCATTGTTCCTGAAATTGATTGATGCCGTTGTCACGTTTGAAAAATTTGAAAACAACGGCATCAATCAAAAGTTTAGTGTTACTGGGTCCTCAAAACGCAAAAAAACGCAAATGTCGAGATTTGGCGTTCTATGATGCCGATATTTTCAAACTTTTTTAACTCGATTTACGCTAATCCCACGTATGGGTCATT